ATCTGAGTCTCTTTGGCATCTAAAAATTCTGACTTCCTTCTTTCTTCCTGCTCATATAAATTGAAACCACTAAAAAAATTTATTCAAATAGGAGATTTGGTGGCTTAGATTTGAATGTCCCCCAGAGACCATGTGCTAAAGGATTAGTTGCTGGATGGGGGCATTATTGGGAGACAGTAAAAACCTTGGGAAGTTTGGCCCAGTTCTCTCTCTCTCTCTCTCTCTCTCTCTCTCTCTCTCTCTCTCTCACACACACACACACACACACACACATACACACTAGCCAAATGAAATGGAGCTAGTTGATAATGACCGAACCCTCTTAAATAATGAACCACAATAAACCCCCCTTTAAGTATCTCGGGTATTTTGTTCCAGAGAGAGAGAGAGAGAGAGAGAGAGAGAAGAGAGAGAGCAAGAGAGGAGAGGACAGGAGAAGAGAAGAGATTGTGTGTGTGTGTGTGTGTGTGTGTGTGTGTGTGTGTGTGCAAGAATCAGGAAAGATGCCGTCCACATTGATGAAAACTCTTTAAGAATTCCTGTAAGGCACATCAGGATAGATAGAAGCAAAGAGAGGGACAGATCATCCTCAATGAAGAAGAAGTGACAGTGAACCGGAAGAGGAACCCACAAAATCTCCAGGTAGATTAAAAAAAAAGGAAGTACAAATATTATCTGGTTTATGAAGTGATTCAATCATTCAGAGGATAATCAATTCATGGAACCAATGCAAATGAGCCCTCCATGGAGAGAAAACATCAGGGTACTCTTGTTTTTCTTTTAAGATTCTTTCAAATAAATAATATGATCTTAAGGTGAAAGAGGTCCAGTTAATGCAGAGACTTGAAGCTTAGATCCTACAGAAAACTGAATCTGTAATAAAGGTTATCTAAAGAGAGCTACCATAAATCAGGAAAAGACTTGAAGATTGAAAATAAAGCCATGGTTCTAATTGCAGAAAGAAGGATCATTCTCTCATTTCTAATTTTATCATAAAAGACTATGCATCCCATTGACAATGTAACTTCCAATCTATTTGGGCTAGAAAAAAAAATTTACATAGTACAGATTCCTTTAGACGTGATCTTACTATGTAGCCCAGGCTAACATCAAACTTTGACCCTCCTGCCTCAACTCACCCAAGTTTTGGGGTTACAAGTGTATACTACCATGTCCAACCATAATACGGATCTTATGAATCTGAGAAAATTGTAAATAAAATTATATGTAAAGCCCTCACTGCCTTAAAGCTCAAAATTCTCTTAATGATAATTCAAACAGATTGACTTTTTATTTTCCTCTGCTTGGACTTACCTGTTTTCCGTTTGAAAGTAAGCTTCCTTTCTTACATATTTTCATTGGCCCAATAAGGCCAGTGAATATATCTTTGGTGGGGTCTACAGCAGAATAATACATCCTAGAGAGGCACACAGGGTCTGCATGAGTGGGCCCTACTCCTTTGGGCACAGTCCATTCATAAGTAAAAGTTTCTTTGGGTGCCACATGGGAGGCTGCTTGAGGACGAGGCACACCTACAAGAAAGGTCACAGTAGAGAAGTGAAGTGTGTCTTTTCTAATGCGGTAGGCTGGGTTTAGGAATCCACATCTGAGTTCCTTGGTCTGAATTAGAATAGTATCTCCTTTGCGCTGTGTCAAATTTGACAGATCGGTCTGATAAACCTCTAAACTTTTGTTTGTGTTCACAGATCCCCTGGAAATACACGTATTTTTTTTTTCTCCAAAACAGAATTAATCTTGAAGGTAAGCATCACTGTCTCTGTCTCTCCATCGGCAGACACTGTTCTGGAAGTAGGAAGTGATCAGCACATTTTTTGTTGACAAGAACAGAACAGGAAATTATGACGGCATTGAAAGGAACTATGCCTGTGAACCTTTTCAATTTTTCTAAATTGGCATTGGGGGAAAATGAGACCAGAAAGCCTCAATAACTTACCCATCGTTACATTGCAGTTGGTGATAGAATCATGTGTTTTCATTGGTAAGAAACTATTCAAATATATCCATATGATTGAATATTCTAAAATATATGTTCCTTGTTATTTTTATTTTATGGGAAGAGTGTATTGCCTGCATGTAGGTAAGTGTACCTGTGTCATGCAATGTCCACGGAGGACAGAAGAGGCTGTTGGATCCCCTGGACCTGGAGTTATGGACAGTTGTTAGCTGCCATGTGGGTGCTAGGATTTGAACCCCGTTCTTCTGCAAAGAACAACCAGTGTTCTTAACCACTGAGACATCTCTCCAGCCCCATTATTGAATATTTTTATGATTAAAATTACATTCATAAATGCTTATAATGCTAAGAGAACAAATTGGGCACAAAACTAATGACAGGATATTTACATGCTATGTGTGCAGTCATAGCATGAAAGCAGAAGGGTTATGTATGTGATTGTCTGTAGAATTGTGGATAAATAATGTTTGGGTTATAACCTATATTTTTCAAATATTCTAAAATGAGCATCAGTCCTTAATGTTAAAGGAGCTTTTCTTCTTTAAAGATTTACTTATTGGGGCTGGAGAGATGGCTCAGCAGTTAAAAACACTGACTGCTCTTGCTGACCCTGGTCCAGTTCCCAGCACTAACATGGCAGCTATCCACTGTCTGTAACTCCAGTTTTGGGAGATTCGACTCCCTCTTTTGGTATTTGTGAGCATGGCATGACAAAGGTACACTTAAATACATGCAGGCAGAACAGTCATACACATAAAATAAAATTTACTTATTTTTGTTTTATGTATATGAGTATTTTGCTTGCAGGTCTGACTGTGCACCTTGTATGTGCACTGCTTGCAGATTCCAGAAGAGGGCATTGAGTCCCCTGGAACCCGGGTTACTGATGGTTGTTAGCTGCCATGTGGGTGAGGGAAATTGAACCTGGGTCCTCTACGAGAGCAGACAGTACTCTTAATCTCTGAGCCATCTCTTCAGTCCCCACAAAATTACTGGAACTTTAGGGGCTAGAGAAATGACTCAGTGGTAAAGAGCACTGGCTGTTCTTGCAGAGGACCTGAGTTCAGTTCCCAGCACCCACATGGTGGCTCACAATCATCCATAACTCCAGTTCCAGGGGATCTGATGCTCTTTTCTGACTTCTATAGGCATTGCACTACATGGGTGCACTTACACACAGGCAGGTAACACACATACACATCAAATAAAAATTTCTTTTACTTTTAAAAATAAATTTTTAATTGAATTTTTGTATATTTCTGTTTTTTAACTTAAAAAAACTTTATTGAGAATTTCATACATGCATATAAGGTGTTTTGATCAAATCCACACCCACTCCCTCCCCTTCAACACCTCCCATATCTCCCCACAACTTTTTTCTGACAACTTCACGTGCTCTTTCTTTTTCTTTCCTTCCTTCCTTCCTTCCCTCCCTCCCTCCCTCTCTTCTTTCTTTCTTTCTTTCTTTCTTTCTTTCTTTCTTTCTTTCTTTCTTTCCTTCTTTAATGGGGCTTTTTGCTACTCTATCATTTCCCTCTCTGAAGAGGTAACCCTAAAATCTTTTAGGGATTAGATAAGAGTTACCAAATACTTTTGACATTTTTGGTCTTTGGAACAAGAGTATGTTGCTAAGAGGCCCGAGGACATTTTGACTTTTAGCCAAGAAACTGGCTCCTCTTAGTAAAATGCCTGAACAATGGCAAGAGCAGTGTTAGCTGCCCTGTTTTTGGTTCTGCAGGGCACTGCAGTGTGTTATCAAACACTGCTGATTGGTCATAGAATTCCACACTCACCTCCTTTCAAGATGTGAGCAGGTGGGGCATAGTATGTGCCCTCATTGTCCACTGTGAATCTCACCCCTGTTGGCTGAATGCTGAGAGGATATGGGCCTTTGTTATGAAAGGTGACTTTAATTGTGTCTCCCACTTCTGCCCAAATGACAGGACCTAGGGACAAAGAAAGAATTAATTATTGTTACTTGTATGACTTGCAGAGTGTGTGAGACAGGTAAGTTTTGTTTGGCTGTGCCTCTGACAAGTACCACCAGGGAACAAGATGCTTAATTTTTGTCAAGTTGGCAAGCTTGATTTTTATTTTTATTTATTTTTATTTTGTGTATACGTGTATTGCCTGCATGTAGGTAAGTGCACCAGTGTCATCCAAAGCTCGTGGAGGTCAGAAGAGGCTGTCGGATCCCCTGGGACTGGAGTTATGGACAGTTGTTAGCTGCCATGTGGGTGCTGGGATGTGAATCCAGGTCTGTGTTCTTAACCACTGAGCCATTGCTCCAGCCCTGCAAGCTTGATTTTTTAAAATATTTATTATTTTTACTTTTTATGTGTATGAGTATTTTTTATGTGTATTTTTATTTTTTATGCTTGCATGTAAGTAAGTTCGCCCGTGTTGTGAAGAGGCTGTCGGATACCCTGGGACTGGAGTTATGGACAGTTGTTAGCTACCATGTGGGTGCTGGGATTCGAACCTGGGTCTTCTGCAAGAACAGTCAGTGTTCTTAACTGCTGAGCTATCTCTCCAGCCCGGCAAGCTTGATTTTTAAAAGCTTGCTCTTGGGGCTGAAGAGATAGCTTGGTGGTTAAGAGCACTGGCTGCTCTTTCAGAGGACCTGGGTTCGATTCCCAGCACCCACATGGCAGCTGACAACCATCCATAACTCCAGTTCCACAGGATCCAATGCTCTCTTCTGACCTCTTCTAGAATTTGCATGACCCAGGCACACATACATGCAGGCAATACACTCATATACATAAAATAAAAATAATAAATAAAATATTTTTTTAAAAAAAACTTCATTCTTGATATGACACGGCAAAATTGGAAAGAGGCAGGAGTTTTGTTTTTTTTAAATCCAGCTTCAGGTCAATGAATTTGGTTATTATTTTTCCCAAAGTCATCAGTAAAATTTATACATCAGAAAAATGAATTCATAGTGTCTGTACAATAGCTCTACGTGTGCCCTTTGTCCCAAGTCCAGCTAAGTTATGTTCTTTTGGGTTTTAGACTTTCCAACTCTAATATCATTATCAACTGTAGAATAAAATGCACTGTATAGTACATAAATCTTAACTGCAATATGCAAAATGATGCTTATTGAGGGCTTCTTATGTCTTCTGAGCGTGACAAGTCATTTCAACTCTACCACAATTTCATGTAGCAGTAACCATTATCATTTCCATTTTATAGAGACGAACAAGCACAGAAATTTAAGTAACTTTCAAAAGTCATCCAGCTAAGTAAAGAGAAATGACACTAGGTATTCACTAGTTACAAGTGCGCAGCAGGAACTTGGTGCTGCAACCTCCAGGACAGATCCAGCACATATCTCAGTAGGCTCTTAGTTTCTAAGAAAGTGCACTTTTAGCTGAGTAGCCTCTAACGAGTTATATATATAAACCAAATCACACACACAGTTTTCCTTATGTCTTTGAAGAGAAAAATAATCATTTGCAGTCCGTGTGACTTTTAATAGTGAAGATTTGCTCCATTTTAACTGATGTCTCCTCCACATGCCAGGTTTCTCGGTGGAAATCACGCTGCAGGTCCTAACATTTCTATTTTGAGGTTGGGCTAGCCCAGGAGGAAAGTATTCCAGCCATGTATATTCTAACTTACCCAGGATGCCAAGGTGTTCCTCATCAGGGCCTCTTTCCTTCTGATTTGTGAAGGACCCATCTGTGTACTCACGATATACCAGTTTTTTATAAGAACCACCAATTCTTGTAGCACCTTGTTCAAAGAATACCACCGAATCACTGTCAAGAGGAAAAAGGGGTCAGTGCCGGTGCTGAAGTAGAACAGGAGCAGGCATTCACCTGCTCTTGAAAAGAGAAATTCTAGCAAGTGCTTCGATCTGAACGCCAGCTGTGATTTACAGCAGCCCCCACTAACTGGCGGACAGTGGCACTGAGACCTAGACTACTGTTAGAGGGATGTTTGGTGAAGGAGAATCAAGGAGATTCCGTTTCTTCAAGTCAAGTGAAAAAGGTTTCTGTGGGGCACGAGTCACTCATGCTCTACAACAGAATCTTTTCGTTCAGTTGACGGTGTTAGGATCACAGCAGCACATTCGTGTGTGTGGGCGCCAGCCAGGGGCTTGCCTTTGTGTGAGTGACTGTGTAACAAACTTGGTATAATTCTCATTTTCCAAATGGAGAAATTAAATCTCAGTTATTTGACTTTGACAAAACCACCCTCCCTATTCACCTCTTTTCTCATTTGACATGTGGGTTAGGACCCGATTTTTTCCAGAACTCCTGCGGTGTATTGTTGATAGCGTGACAGGCAAGCTGACCCTCCTTCTGCTCAGGGGTCATGTCTGTCAGAGGAGACCAGCTATGAGCTAATAGCATAAAATGTAAAGAACACAGTGTTACAGAGCATTTCTCCCACACTTCAGAAGCTTTCCAGGGGAAGGGATGTTTTAGAACTCTAAAAGTAGAGCTAGCAAAGTGGTGTGTGTGTGGTGAGGGGATGGGCCAGGTGATTGCAAACAGGAAACACCCAGTGGGAGGCTCAAAGGGGAACTCCTTTTTGCCTGAGAAATTTTTGCATGACCTTGGGTACTTAGGTATATAAATAAGCTTGCAAATCGAACATTATTGATACCAAATCATTAATCGATTTGAAAACACTTTCGAATATATATGATTTTGCCATGTGTTAAAAACGAAAACAAATATGTGTATTGATGAGATGAATGAGCTTGTTTATTTTTACATAAAGTATAAGTGTTGGCTGAATATTTGACATGCAGGACACAGCATCTTCAGCATGTTTCAGAGTTAGTGATGTTTTGGTTTTAGAAGTGCCAATGCAGACAAATATGTAAGACAAAATGGCATGAGTATGTTTAGGTCCACTTCAGAAATTTTCGGAAATTCTGCTTTAATCCCAAGCAAAATTTTATTTAATGATTTTTTTTTGGTATGAAAATCAAGTTAACAACTCAAATAGAGATATTTAAAATCAAACATTGTAACAAATACTATCCAAAAATAAACTAATTTGTACATGCATGCTAAGGAGTGACAGTAGAGAAATATTTTTGTTTGCTCTAATTAAACCATTATGTGTCTATGAGCTGAAAACTTTGTATGTACACTAAAAATTCTGCAGGTCATTATATATGCTAGTCTCAAATTCTGAGCATTGCCTGGTATGATGGCACATGCAGTACAGAATGTGCATGTTGTGCATTCATATGCAAGGCTGCATGCAGTGAAGTCACGTGATGCAACACAGCCATGTGCTGCCCAAACCACTTGGAACCATGGAGCATTAGGTTTTAAGCTAATTTTCGTAGTTGTGCATCCTGCAAGCTGTTACTGTTGCCACATTTTTCACAAGCCTTACTTCATTTGTGCAATCCCGCATGGGGTTGTAACCCTAAGTCGGAGCACAGCAGGAGCAGAGCCTGCAGCGCAGGGCAGGTGAGGAGTGAGGAGTGAGGCTTGAGAGATGGAGTGGGCAGGGATACATGGTTAAGGTTTTGGTACTGCTTCATGGCATTACTGAAGGATTTAAGCATTCAAGGTGAGTGTTTTAGGGAGATCCCTTCAGTAACTGTATAGAGAATGTGTTAGGAAATAAAATTCCTCAGGAAGAGATGAGTCAGAAGACTACTTTTATAATTTCAGTGAAAGACGGTGAAGAATTTAGTCACCTTGGCAAAAAGGATGGAAGGAAGAAGAAAGCTTTGAGAGGACTTTAGGAAATGACGAGATGGTACCTGAGAGAGTGGGAGGAGTTGGAGGAGAGAGGGAGTCAAGGACACTGTGAAACCAGTCCCTGAGTGGGGAGACTGTTTTGCACAGGAGACAATAAAATTCAGGTTTAGACATATTGAGTTGGGCATGCCTCATTCAAGTGGGGGTGTCACTAAGAAAACTGAAATACAAATCTGAAGTTCACAAGACCCTTTTAGGTTGGAGATGCATCTCTGGGAGTCATCAGTGTGATCTAGTGCAGCCTGGAACTTCAAACTCTGCTTCGAGAGTCACAGACCTATGTGTGGTTAGGCCCAGCTCTCCACTGTTGCATGACACTGAGTAAATTTCTAAAACTTTCTAAGAAGGAATTTTGGTTTTGAGACAGGATCTCTCTGTAGCCCCAGCTGGCCTGGAACTCGCTATGTAGACCAGGCTGGACTTAATCTCACAGAGATCCATCTGTCTCTGCCTCCTGAGTGCTGGAATTAAAGGTATGTACCACCACACCCAGCTTCAAGAGGGAAAATTTTAAGATGGGTCGCAGACCGGGCTTCTGTGAGACAGTGATATACAGGCAGAAGTGGAGCAGGGTGGTGGCACAGTCTTGTTGACAATTTTAAAAGGTCACCTTGTTGTGGAAATGACCAATAGGAAAGGAAGGCTGAAGCGGGAAGAACAGTGTAACTATAAAAATCAGTCAGACACGTAGGAAGAGTAATTTATATGCATCAGAGGATACCACCCAAAGGTGAAACCCTACACTGGGAGAAAATGTTCTGTTGGGTATGTGATAAGGAGCTAAAATTCAGGTATCTAAAGAACCATAAATCAACGCCCAAAATGACCCCAACCCAATTCAAAACTGGGCAAATGACATGAACGTACATTTCTCTGACTATATAGCCAACCCCAAATAGAGGCTCCATATCAGTAGTCATAAGGGAAATAAATGCAAGTCCAAACTACTGTATTACCTCACATGTGTTAGGGTGACCACTATTGTCATTGGGGGTGTGGAACATTTTGAAATTGTTTTATATTGCTGGGAGGTCTATAAAGTGGCGCAGTTATCTTGAAAAGTGCTGCGGTAATTCCCCACAATGAAACACAGAATTACCATATTATCTGGTTATTCTGCTTCCAGGTAGATACCCAAAACCATTGAAAGCAGGGAACTGAACAGATGTTTGTGCGCCAGCGTTCATGGCAACGTTACACTCATGGCAACCAAAACGTCCATGAACAGATGAACAAGTAAAATGTGCATGCATGTGATGGAATATCGTTCATCCTAAAAGATAATTGAAATTCTGATACATGCTACATTGTAAATGAACCTTAAGAATATTATGCTAAATGTAATAAATATTTGATTCAACTTCTATGAATTTGCCCACAGTAAACAAATTCATTAAGGACAGAAAGTAAAGGAGAGGTTATCAAGTGAGGTAGGATGCTAAAGTGAATAGTAAACATAGATTTTCTATTTAGGATGATGAAAAAGTTCTAGAAATTGATAGAGGTGATGATTATATAACACTTTAAAGTACTTAATGCTGCCAAATTGTACAATATTATTTTTAGAAATGTAAAGCAAATTAATTGATCACTATAATTGTATTGATGATTTTCTCAGGGTTTGTTCAGACTTTGATGACATTTGAACCCATTCTTGACTGTGAACTCAAATGTCATAGGTGTCAAACTCATACTCATACCAAGTACCTTAATAAATCCTTAGCAGTCTAGTTACCCAGTATCGCATGCTAGGATAATATTAACTGCTGAGTCAAACTTTAATTTGGGGGAGCTATTTGAGGGTCTTTGAGGGATCTACCTTTCAGGAGTTGTTAGGTTTTCTTTGGTGAAGATGTCCACACCAGAGGGAGCATAGTTCCATATGATTTCTTCAGCTGCAATGTAATAATGCCTGACATTTTTCCCCCAAATATTGTCCTCCAACAAGGGCTTGTTACAGTTCTGAACCCGGAAAAAGGCCTGCAAACCAGCTGAAACAGCACAGGGAACCATCAGTTAGTGGAGACAATGCTGATGAGATGACAGGTGGAAATTGAAGAAACAGGCAGAGAAAGCACTGTACGCAGGTACAGCTGTAACAGTCGTATACTGGTGGACAGCTCAAGTGTTTTAACAGACATGTTGGGACAGTAAGCATGTATGTTTTCAAAATATGATACCAGTTTCTAGGGGCTGAAGAGATGGATCAGCAGTTAAGAGCGCTAGGTACTCTTGCAGAGGACCCTGGTTCAGTTCTTAGCACCCACATGGCAACTAACACAACCATCTGTGACTCCAGTTCCAGGGGACCCACACCCTCTTCTGGCCTCTATGGGCATTGCACACACAAGTGCACTTACATGCATGTAGGCAAAACACTCATCATACACAGAAAACATAAATTAAAAAATTTAAATACCTGTTTCTCTTGAGAGTCTCAATATCACACACCAATTAAAATTTAATTTATGAATCAGGCTTCTGTTTATTGGAGGAACTTGTTTTAAAAATAATAATCTTTGGGAAGAATTACCTTTCAGGGGTTATTAAGTTTTTCAAGCACCTAGATTAAGTCTAATTTTCTCAGGAGATACATTTCACAAACAAATCATTTTTAAGAACAAGAGATGTTTTTATAGCCCTCTCTTATGGTGACAGTGGAAACACTGGCAAGTTAGAACAAAGAATAGATAAATAAGAAATTGGTTATTCTTGACACAAGTCAAAAAGCTACTTTTCAGCATGATAGGTAATTTTTTTTCACAATATTCTTTATTTCATATTGAGAAAGTACAAATAATACTATACTTTTATGGCAGGGGCCAATATCTTTTTTCACGCAATAAAATATTTTTTGATTTTATTTTTTTTT